CGCCGTATAGCAGCGGCGGTAAAAAACACTTGAATTTTCTGCGGGGGCGAAGCGGGGCGGGGCGGGTGGCGGGCGGCAGCGCTTGACTCCAATCCAGACGCTCATCTCGCTGCAAGGCACGGCGTGGCACGGCGTGGCGTGGCGCGGCGTGGCGGCCGCCTCCACGTTGCTCTCCTTCCGAGGAGACTTTGACGGACGGGCGGGCGGACGGGTTACCTGGCAGTCCCGCATCGCGAGCATCGCAAGCATCGCGCATCGCGTCGCCACAAGCAAATGCATACATGTATGCGCCCGCCAGCCGTACGCCCGGTGGGGCGGCCGCCTTTGGGGCGCACCCCATCAGCCGTGACTCTGTGTGTGTGTGTGTGTGTGTGCGTGCGCGGCCTGTGTGTGTGTGTGTGTGTGTGTGCGTGTGCGTGTGTGCGTGTGTGCGTGTGTGTGTGTGTGCGTGTGTGTGTGTATGTATGTGTGTGCGTGGGGGTGGATATGCGGGCTGCCTCGCGGCGCTTGAGCAAGTAGTTGTTGCTGTGTTTTGGTGGCAAACTCCGCGCGACCGCGAACGGTGGGCCCGGGAGACGTCCTCAAGGCCTCATACCAGGCGGGGCTACAGTGCCTACAGGCGTGGCGGGCGGGCGTGCCCAACTGAGACTGCAGCCCCGTCGGGTGCCTTTCTTTTTTTTTTTTTTTCTACCTTTCTACCTTCTTTTTTTCCGACCTGCCTCCGATAGCGCATATAGATAGGTTGTTGTGGACGATACCAAGTTAAGATAGGTGCTTGTTGACTCACCGTCGGCGGAGGTGGCGGCGCGCAGGTGCGCCGGGTACTTGGCGATGACGCGCTTGATGACGTCCACCTGCTCCAGGGTCAGCTGCACCGCGTTGAGGTACTGCGACTCGCACGGCACGTACGCCGCCCAGAACTGCCAACAGGGAGAACCGAAAGTTTGTTTCGGCGTCCTAGCAAGGCGACAGACAGGTTCGGGCGCGGCACTCTGCTGGGCGGCAGCGCGGCGTCCCGGGCCGCCGCACAGAGGGCCAGAAGACCGGTGGAGGCGGACACAAAACTCTGGACGCGCTTTGAGCTCCAGAGTCGCTAAACAGACCGCGAAACAAACGTGTGGCCCCCACCAATGGATTCCTCATTCAGAGGGCAATCCATTGGTGGGGTCACACCGAGGGGGTAAACACTTGCGTAATACCCTGTACACAAAAGTCGGGACGCGTAATAGTAATACATTTTGGGACCAAAGGATCAAAAAATGTCATTTTTCAATGAAATTGAGGCGTAATACATGCGTAATACAAGTGTAATACCCCGTAATAGGGAGTAGTCTGTACAAGGTTCACCGGAGTAAACACTCCCTCGGGTCCCTCGGGTCACACGTTCAGTTCGAGTCCCATCGAGAGACTCTGGAGCTCAAAGCGCGTCCAGAGTTTTGTCCGCCTCCACTGGCCTTCTGGCCCACTGCGAGGGCGTCGCAGCGCAGACCGGGAGCAGCACGGCGGGCTGGCGGTGCGAGGTATGGCCACCATTTCCCGATCCCACGCGTCGGTGGGCGGCGATCTTCAGAAAAATGTTTGCTGACTCGTTTGGCGCATTTCACTGCAATGCTTTTTCCCGCGGCAAGACGAGGGCGGTAACGAGTCGCCATTCAGATTCAGATTGATGGGAGCCGGGCCTGGCTGCGCCTGGCTGCCGACGCGGTCCGCTGCAACGCGAAGCCACGCGAAGCAACGCGACCCGACTCGTTACTGTGGGATGCAAAGCGAGGCCGCGAAGGGAAGCGCGTCCCATTCAGGCATCGGGCCGCAATGTGCGCAACTCGTTACAAAGGTACGGAGTGTCAACACTCGCTGCCTGTGTCGAGTCCATGCTTTGCCGTGGCAGGCCATGAGTCGGCGCGCCGCGTAAAAGCAACAGCAGTTTACTCTTTTTTCACTTTTCAGTAACGCTTTGATTCCTTTTTTCCTCATGCCTGTTGTACTTTTTCGTGTCGCGTCGGCGGCGGCGGTGTTTGGGGATGGGGTGGCGAAGTCAGACGCAGCTCCGCGTGCACGTAAACTCGGCGTACTCACGGCCAAGCGCGCGTGTCGCGTCTGCGTGTGTGTGCGTCTGTGTGCAGTGTGTGTGTTCGTGTGCGTCTGTGCCTCTGTGTAGGGCTGTGCGCTGGTCACCGTGCCCGTGCGCATTGCAGTGGATGATGTGGAATCGGACCGAGTCAGCTCCCCCTCCCCTCCCCTCCCCTCCCCTCCCCTCACAGCGGCGCAGCGGCGCAGCACTGCATAGTACATCGCTCAAACAGGCCATGTGTGTCGCGGTCGCGGACCGGGGCTGCGCATTACAGGTTACATCGTTCTCTGACTGCAGTCACGTCGAACTGACCACTCTCGCGCCCCATCACGTTGATTGGGAGCACGGCAAACAAAGACCCGGTGACCCCGGACATTGGAAACCACCCCTCCGCAAGGTGCTGTGCTTACGGGTGCTGCGTACCTGGCCGCCGACGAAGCCCGCCCGCAGCCGGCTCAGGTCCGTCTGGCTCCACTTGCTGCGGCTCCAGGGGCCGGGGCCCTGGCGGAGGTCCTCGAGCTGCAGGCGCGCCAGGCGGTTGTGCACGAACTTGCGGATGTTCCAGGGCAGGTCGTTGTGCCTGGGGAGTACAAGAGTGCCACTGAGTAACGCGTTCGAGGCGCACTTGGCTGTCACACGCAGCGAGACTTACCCGTCGATGAGGGGCTCCTGCTTGAGCAGCTTCTTGACGAGGTCGAGGCGCTCCTTGGTGCCCATGGTGTTGCTGACGCCGTACGGGTCCGGGTCGGCCTGGCTGGCCAGCGCGTCGTCGCCCTCGTCGACGCCCAGCTTGTCGGACAGCGGCACCCGGGTGGTCGCGGCGGGGGCGTCGTTCACCATCCCCGGCGTGGCGCCCTGCCCGACCACGGCCGCGTCCACCGGCCCCCCCGTGGCGCCGCTCACCGTGTCGCCCAGCGCGCCGCTCAGCAGCAGCAGCAGCAGCGCCAGCATCCCTGCAAACACAAGGCCGTCCGAGGAGATGAGGTCGGGTTACGCCACTCCCGGCAATCCCCCGGGCCGGGCCTCTCAGGGCCGGGCCTCTCAGGGCCCCGGCCGGGCCTGCAGCCTCGGCCCCAGCCTCGGCCTCAGCCAGCTCATCTCACCATTTAATCCCAGATTAAGTGGGGCTCTGGATGTACACGCCGAGGCCTTGCCGTGTAGCCGCCCCCGCCAGCCCCGCCGCACCGACCGCGCGCTGCAGCCCACCGAGTGCGGCCGAGTGGCTGGCCTGGACAACACCGCCACACCTCGGCCGCTCGGCGCGGCCAGCGCGGCATTCCGCAGCCATCCCCGTAATTAATGAGCTCCTGATGAGGCCGGCCGTCCCGTCCGCAGTCGCGCAGAGAGGACAGGGAGGGAAAGGGGCTGTAGGTACGAAACTTTTACCACACTCCCGAAAAAAGGGCCGGACATTCTTCGAGGCGCCCGGGGCGTCGCGTCGCGTTGCGTGGGCTGAGGGCGGCGAAGCAGAGGGCCGGTGGTGCCAATGCCGGCCTCCACCAGGCCCCTCAGTCCGCCCAGCCCCCCTCAGGCCACGGCAGCGCCAACGTCAGGCCTGGGCCGAGTCCACGCCGCCGCCGACCGCCGCGCTGAGGGCAGATTCCGAACTGTGCTTCGTCGCCACGTCTCTCTCGCGCACCAACGGGGCGCCGCCTGAGTGCGAGAGAGACGCCGGCAAGAGCGCTGGTGGGAGTGAGGCCGTGAGGAGTCCGTCATTGCTGCGCGGCCCCGCCAACTTGCCCCAATTGGCATAACTTATCGGACCGCAAACTATTGCCCTGGATTACCACCCTCTGTCATTCTTCCCGGGTTCCCAAGGGCAGCGGGGGATCGCCCCAGCCCCAGCGAAACAATGGACGCAAATTCGTTCCAAGTTGGAGTGCGGCAGGGCGGCAGGGCGGCGGGGTGGCAGCGCGGCGGCCCGACGTCCAACCGCCGCGCCGCTTATCGCGCCGTCCCAAAGCGCAGCCCGGGCGAGTCCGGCAGTTCCAATTGCCCACCTAAGGCCCGGGGCAATTTGCCCACTCGGGGCGGCACGACGGCGTCCTCGGCCCCCACTTGCCACTCCCAGGCCCGCAGGTCGGCGGCTTTGTTGCTACTTCGCTGTCAAGGGGAGAGGAGAGGCCTGGATGAAGGCACGACTGGCGCGACGGCGACTCTGTCGACTGATTCCGAGGGCCGCCTTCGTCGCTCTGTCTCTCTCGCACCTACACGGGACGCCCCACGAGTGCGAGAGAGACAGAGCGACGAAGGCGGCCCTCGGAATCAGTCGACAGTGTCGGGGTGTGGATTTCCAGGCCATTCCCTGCGCCGCGCCGCACCGTGCCACGCCGTGCCACGCCGTGCCACGCCGTGCCACCGGCTGCTGAGGAGTGGGCCCAAAGTTTCCTCTCCCCGCGGGGCCCGGCAGTTTTGTAAATATGGTCCTACTTCGGCGACTTTCGGCTTCCAGCGCAGCCAGCTTCCAGGGCGGCATAATCCAGGCGACAGCAGCAAGCCGGTGACTCCGAGACTCGCTCACCCGTCCGCACCGGGGGCGGGGAGGGGCGTGGAGGGGCGTGGAGGGGCGGGGAGGGGCGGGGAGGGGCGTGGAGGGGCGGGGCTTCCCCCTCCCCGCCCCCGCGCCGTGCCCCGCGCCGCCCGACATACGGCCCGCGATTTCTTGCATGTCTTATAAATATTGCATGAGGTGCCCCGCGTCTCCTCGCGAGCCACCGCGAGCCAGCGCGTCATCAAGCCACCCCCTCTCGCACAGCAGCGTCGCACAGCGTCGCACAGCGTCCACCTCTGTCGCAGCGTGCGCAGCGTTTAGCATAATGCTGCTTCAAAAGAGAATCGCAAATCCTATAGAAAGAAGACGGTTTGCTGTTTGTGAGAATGCACGCGACATGATGAGAGGTATCAGTGTCAGTGTGGGAAATGAGCGGAATGAAAGAGCTTTTGTGGCGTGCAGTGCACGGAGAGCACCATAGAGGACGGCCCGCCTCGGGCGCTGGGCGCAGGAACACTGCGACACCGGATATAAACTTGTTTTCCGATCCCATCCGACCCGTTCCCCCGACCATTATTCCCCTCCCCCAATGCACTCCATTTTCACCTTGTTTCCCCGATATTAATATTGCGAGCAGCCATTGCCGCTCGGCTAATGCTGTTCTGTTCTCCTTTGATTAGGCAAACAATGCCCGCGGCATACTCTTCAAAATCACTCACAATAAGCGAGTTTTATTTTTCTCCTGCGGAGTGGGCGGCTTAACGCGCGTTCTGCCTGAAAGCCTGGAACAAAGCTTTAGTGATCGGCGGCGCCGAGTAGCCTGAAAGCTTTCTGTTGCCTCTACGCGTCAGACCGGCACACAGACAAACAAAACAAAATACGGGAACAAACAAACAAAGACCAGGAAAAACTAGCGGCGCATTGTTGCACGTCCCTATCCATAAAATTGGCCGGTATCGAGATGGAGCCCGGAGAATTCCTCCGTGGACTGGGTGATTTTGTTGTCGTTTCCCGTTCCTCGTTCCTCGATCCTCGTTCCTCGTTCCTCGTTCCTCGATCCTCGTTCCTCATCCCTCGTTCCTCGTTCCTCGTTTCCCATTCCTCGTTCCTCGTTCCTCGTTCCTCGTTCCTCGTTCCTCGTTCCTCGTTCCTCGTTCCTCGTTCCTCGTTCCTCGTTTCTCGTCCCTCGTTCCGCGTTCTCGCTTCGCCTGGTTATACAGCCCCGCACAGCTAATATCGGGCTAAAGCCTCCGAGTAATGAAGAGAAATCAAAGCCTCTACTAAAAGAGGACCGCCATGCGAGCCGCCATGCGTGGCCAAAGCGAACAAGGCGGGGTGGCAAGGCGGGAGAGGGGCAAGATAGGCGCGGAAAGCACGGAACGGCTATCATGCGTGCCACGCCACGCCCGTCTGCCCGCCGACCTGCCACGCCCTGCCACGCCCTGCCACGCCCTGCCACGCCACACACGCGCAAACTCACACACTTAATTCCTCGTAAATCACAGCAGCGGCCCACAAAAAAGGGCGTGTTTGTGTGTGTTTTCGCGCGCGTGTGTGTTGGCGGCACCCCATCGATATTCGGAGAGATACAGGACAAACACCGCAAATGAAGTGTGGCCAGTGCCGCCCGTTTAATAACTCGTCCGATCACCCCCACACCCATTCCCCTCCCCGCGTCCACGGTCAGGAGGGCCAGCAGGGCCAGCAGGACCAGCAGGGCCAGCAGGGCCAGCAGGGCCAGTAGGGCCAGCAGGGCCAGCAGGGCCAGCAGGGCCAGCAGGGCCAGCAGGGCCAGCAGGGCCAGCAGGGCCAGCAGGGCCAGCAGGGCCAGCAGGGCCAGCAGGGCCAGCAGGGCCAGCAGGGCCAGCAGGGCCAGCAGGGCAAGCAGGGCCAGCAGGGCAGGGCCACGCTCTCCTCATCCAATAATGTTATTTCCAGCAATGCGGCCGCTCTGGCAGCACTCGACTCTGAGTGGCGGCCCACAGCCCAGCCACTGGTCAACAGCCTGACCGGCAGCCAGGTCGTCCGGGCCGTCCAGGTCGTCGCGGGGTGTGGCGGGGTGCTGTTTGGGTGGCGGAGCGGGGCGTGGCGGGGCGTGGTGGGGTCTGGGCCGCCGTGCCATGCCGTCTGCTCCCGCTTTGAAGGAGCCGAGCGAAGCGAAGCAATGCTTGCCTTGCTCGCCGTGCTTGGCTTGCCAGGCTGACGCTGGCTGGCGCTGCGATGTGCAGCGGCGCGCTGCGAGACTGCGGCCACCGGACCGGTAAATCGGCCGCGTCGCTCCCCTCTTCCTCCGGGGCGGCCCGCCCGCTTAGCCAGCGCGACTCGCAGTGGCGTGGCAAACGGAATCGGCTGCCGCGGATAATGCGCCGCGATTCGAGGATTGTGAAGGATGCCCCGGCCGGGCCGCCATGGCGCCGCCACACCGCACTGCTGGTTCCACGCAGCACTCCTGCATGATTGGACTTTCGGCCCGGGACGCTAATTGGGTGGGTTTTGTTGATTGTGGCGACAGTAAACAAACGCAGCACGCCCATGATGCGGTGCGGAAATTGCTCGTTATATGCGGAGAAAATACATCCAGTTTTTTTTTTTATTTTCATAAATTTCGGATGAGTAAACGCCATCAATTTTCAGGGCCGGGCCGTGACACAAGCTTTTTGGATTGTTTTCGTCACGACATAAAGATAGTGCTGGTCACAATTACTTCTATTTCAAAAACAAAATGAGAAGAAAATATTGTTGGGGATAAGTGTGCTCTGTTTGCTTATCCGATGTCATTTCGAGTAGGCCTGCGCCTTTGCCGCAGTGCTTCAAAGGCGCTTCATCGGGGCTTGCCCAGTGTGCCCGCGGCAGACGCCGTTTGGTGCGTTTGATGTGGTCTAGACCACGTATGGCCACGTTTGGTGTGGTCTAGACCGCACCAAACGCACCAAACGTGGTCTAGACCGCACCAAACGCACAAAACGTGGTCTAGACCACATCAACTGATGTGGTCAAAATGGCACCCATTTGACCACACCAGTTGGTGTGGTCTAAACCACGTTTGGTTTTTCAGTGCTCTCTCGTTCCATCGGGGTTCCATGCAAGTGTCAGTTCGAGGAGTGGAGCTGGCCACTAGGACCATGACCACCTCAACGGCCTTCTGCGTTGACGCGTCTCGCCAGTCGGCCTCGCCACAGCCAAGGACGAGCGCAGCAGCCTGGGGCTCGGCGGGGTGAAGCTGATTTACATGGAGTGTGTTCCGGAACCCTTCGGCTCCCCGGGGCCCTGGGCGTGGGCTGGCCTGGCCTA